AAAAGTCCTCAAATTGTAGCCTTCTGGAAGTCGTCAGATTATAACTTCCATCATCGGTGTTTGATGGGGGATTAACTATCTATTGTGATTTTTAGACAGCCTACAATATCCACCTTCTTATTACGGCTTTTGCAAGCGTAAAGCCATAACTCAAGTCTACTATAAACTGATAGTTATCTTTGCCTTAAAGGTTTAATAGTGTATCAGCACATTAGTAAAAGTTAATTAGGTTTTATTGTACGAATTATAGAGTAGGTTTTTAAAGATCATACCTCTTTTGAATGTTGTGATACCTACATAATATCGCGAAATTAAAATTTTATTACTTTTGTAAAGAGTCTTGATGGAGATGATTTTGTCTTGATAGCTTGTTCTGAATGAGCCCAGCATATTAACTTAAAAATATAATATTTATTGTTTATTGTGTTATATGGATGTTTGTTTGGTTTACTTACCATTCTCTTGTTTATTTATTCAGTTGAATATTTGGGTTGGTGTGTGTGTGTGTGTGTGTGTGTGTGTATACATACATACATACAAATTTGCGATGATGTGCTATCTCCCCAGCAAAATTGAGATGGATATAAGATGAACTTTATGTTTTGTGACCTGTAATATATTTTTTTGTAATGAAATATATTACCTTCATATTTAGAGATCGTGAAATCCGAGAATGCTATTATGGGTTTATCTTTGATCATGTTGTAAAGAATTGATCATTTTTTCATACACATGTTCCCAAATAAAGTTACACGTTGAGCCATGCCGGTGTATAGTAAAAAGAAAAAATATCAATTATACTTTTTTTCTCAAGCTATGATGAGTAAGTATCGTGTATATATATTTTGTCCAGTATAGTGATTTCCCACATTTTGTCTGGCTTTAAGTAAGTAATATATGGATACATTTTATCAATTATAGTGATTTTTCTCCTCTTGTCTGGTTTGTTATATCTCGTAATATAGTTGATCAATAGCTTCACATTAGTTGCTATTGCAAGGACATTTGTATCTAATTATATAATAAGTTTATGACTCCTTTAGTATTTGAAGAACAAAATATAAAACTTTATAGGACTTACTAATATTTCTTGTATCTTCTATGAAAAAATGCTTCTTGATTGGAAAATTTTATTTAATATATTCTCCAATGGGAAATCAATTGGTGCTTTTGTGATAGATATGCCTCTTGTTAATATCAATTCAAGTAATTCATGTAAGTTTAAGAATTTTGGGTTAATTTCATTCACTTTTCTATTTAAAATAAAAACAACTAGATCCTTTTGAATGATATCTCTGAACTTTTCAATAGTTTCTCCATACGTAAGTCATTATATTTTATTACCCTGTGAATATTATTAACATCAGAGAATATTTTTTCTACCCTGTGAATATTACTAACATTAGAGGATAATGATTATAAAATATAATCAATTAATGCTAAGCTATTATATTATAGTTTTTTTTATCAATTTTAAGTGATTTAGTTTTCTATCAATTGATGCTACCTCTGTATTTTTGATACTTAACTTATGAGTAAAATTATATACACTTACTTTTACTTATACAATGATATTAATTTTTAATCTATCAATATATTTTTCAAATATCATGTTTTTTTTGTAATTTTAAACTTTTGAGGGTGTTTCTATAATTTTAAAAACTTTAATAATGTTAATTATAAACTTTCAATTGTAGGGGGCTACTACTAATTTTTAGATTTTATGTTTATTGTTTTAAGTTTTGAAAACTCAGTATGTTTTGTGTAATTTTAAACTATTGAGGGTGTTTTGTGTAAAATTTGAAACTTTTTAGTTTTTTGACAATAATTCATGTATTATCTTTACGTTTTTATTTCTTTACGTTTTTATTATCGTTTAAACTCATTAGTGTCTACATGATCTTATCTTTATCTATTATCCCTAAGGCTTAATTGATGCGACAAAGAGTTTTTTATGGTGGGGAAAGGGGGATCTATGTTCAAGTATGATGATAATCCATAAAATTCATCTATGTTGTTAGCAAGCTTTGAGAGTGTTTTTTATAATTTAAACTTTTAGGGGTATTTTTATAATTTTTGAAATGTTGAGGGTATTAATTATAAATTATAAAATTTTCAGAGGATACTGTTAATTTCTAAATTTCATGTTTGTTATCTTAAATTTTGATATTTGATGGTGTTTTGTGTAATTTTGAATATTTTAGAGTATTTTGTACAATTTTTGAAACTTTTTGGGTTTGTTTGTTATTTTTGTAATATTTTATGTAACTTATTAATCTTATTTTTTTAATTATTGAGTTATTGATAGTTTACGTAGGATTAAGATAGAATATAATTATGATTATAATATATTAAGATTTAAATAAAATATTTAAAATAATAAAAGATAATATTGGGGCCCAACATCAAACACCTCGCCTTCACTCTCCTCATTTCATGGCTAAGACCTGGTATAGATTGATCCCTATATTGTATTGATCAATTGGGTTTTAATCGATTCCCGTTTCCATGCTGAGGAGTTGAAGTTTTCCTATGGAGGAGATGGGGTTTTGTGTTAAATTTATAGTTGGGTTGTTAGTTTAGTGTTTGGTTAATGCGTTAACTTAACTGTTTCAAGATTAATTTATGCTAGTTCTTGTATTTTAGAGTGCCATGGGATCCTAATATAGGATTTTTAATAAATCGGTAACATCTGGGAAATACCTTATGGGGGGTATTAAGATGTTTTATGCTTATTAATGCACGTTACTGTCTTTCTAACGGGTGCCCATGGACACTCGTTGGGGAATGATAGAGATGGAGAGAAATGAATAACAAGTCGGGTCGCTGACTTACACTATTTTTTCTCATACCTCTCCTCTTTATCGCTCTCATCCTTTAAACAGTGTTTATGGGCATGCACCCGCTAGAAAAAACCTTAACAGATGCGGTGCATGTTGTTCGAGCATGTATTGGTCTAAAAAGGTTGCTGCATATGTTCAACTTGTAGGTTGATCTCTTAATTGATCAAAACCATGCCAAAACCGCCGGTAGCTTCGTGTACAGATTGCTTAGAGGTCAAATGTGATACACCTACACAATTTGGTATAGGTTTACTGGAAATTAATAAAGATTTTGCACAAAATGTGCAGACATTGAACTGGTCCAAGGACTGCTACTCTTTTTAGCTTATAGCTACGTCTCTTAATGGATATTAAAACCGCGCAAAATGCTGGCAGCTTCAACTGCCTACTGGTTGCAGGAGCGTTCAGTATGATGCACCTGTACAATATAATATAGGTGACTCAAATATTGTTTGATAACTTCCACGAAAAATCGCTACTTGATAGTAAATCACAAATCTTTAGAATTTTGTATCCGTTGCTTCTTGTTTAATCGGAGCTTAATCTATATCCAATTGATGTGCAGATTTCTTCTTGCTTTTACAACAAAATAATAAATGAAGTTAACCATTTCTTGTTTACATGCAGATACTAGAACATGAGATTCTTTCAGTGCCTACGTTTATTCTAAGGAGAGGTACTTTTTTTTATATATATAATATGCTTTCAGCAAATATTTTTGACATGTGCATACTTGGGTAATGAATTACGAACATAAATGAGGCTGCTGGGTGCATAAAAACTGATCACTCAACCAACAGAAAGCATCATCTAACAAACAACCATCCTAATTAATTCAGCGGTGACCCACCCTGATCCAACACATTGAATCCTTCTCTTATTTTGAAACCTGACACCACAGTTATCTTCTCAGCTTCCCTCTCCACGGCGTTTACTTGGGCAATCCGATGAAAATTAAGATTGTTCGAAGAGTCACAATCACATGCTTTCGCATACACGTCCACAATCTATCTACAACTGGTTAATTTAAATTGCAGACATTCATTCATTTCTCAAGTACGGGTACTTGTTATCCTCTGATCAAATGCAATAAGTATCGGATGTCGATATCACTTCATGTACTTCCCCCCGTGTTCTGTATCTCGTGAAGAAGCTTATATTAATGCAAATAAGTCATGATTATTAAAAAAATGAGGGGGATTGGAATTCGTAGATAGCCGAACCAGGGCACATGTTTGAAACATTGGTGCATGTGGATCCTATTGAGCTTTACATGAGACATAAATAACCGAGGTCTGGCCTAAGGGGACGGAAGCATAGACAAATTATTTTCATATAAGAGACTAATTAAGCGGCTCGCTGTTGTCCTTGATTTGGCCAATAACGAAGATTTACAAGATTTGTAGAGAGGTATAGGAGAAGAGGGTTTAGAGGAATTTTTGGGGAGAACTTGATTTTCTCTATTTTCTTCTTAAAAACAAAGTTGCAATGACAAACTTATTCATTTAACCGTGAGATGATCCACACATTATTTGCGAGTTCAAAATTCAAATACTAGCCATCCATTTGATACTTCGTGACAACTAAGCCATATGATTCTCACATGACACTCGCCTACCCACACATAAAACCCAAACACAAATTAACTTGCAAAGCATTAATTTTAACACTCAGGTCAAGTATTTTACACAAGATATTCTGAATATCTGAGTGAAAAATGTTCTTTTCCTTGAAATTTATGTTTAAGCATGAAACATATATAACTGAAAACTAGCACTTAACTTCTTATCTTTCACTCACATTTCTACAATTGTTTTTCTCGATATCAATAGCCTGGGATGTGAATGGTAGTAGCGTAAGTTGAAAAGGTCGTGTTACAAATTTTTGACAGAGACTTGAAGTCATTAAAATTTTGGTACTTGGCTAAAACGTTGGTCAGCGTATAGGAAGGTTCCAATTACGCGTCACCGTTTGATTATAGAAATTTATCCTTTAAAAATTTCAGCTTTATTCAGTTCCTCTTATATCATCTATATATGATTTATCCTCACTTCCCACGGTTCACACCATATTATTTACCTTGCAGGCCAAAGGATGGTGCCTTAGTTCTTCTCCTTTTGACTAAAAAATATTGCAAGCGCTCCTCTTTGTGTAAAGTTAAATATTACTCGTTTCAGCGAAAATCAATAACAGAGCTTTTCGCACAAAGAATACACGACGTAGTGCCTGAATTACATAGAAAGTCTTTAATTTGACGTATATTACACATATAATCTTTGTTTCACAAACCACATCTTGTGTACAAGCTCAAGCATTATTTGGTCTATTGATGAAAAGTAAGTCTAATACCAAATATTTAGACAAAATATATCACACCCTTTATCCCTTTTTTTTCCTACCAAATTCTCTTTCAAATGATGCTTGACAGTATGCCCACATCAAAGTAAAAATCAGTGGGAGACCAAGAAAACGATGAAGAGCATGAAGGTGACGAGTCTTGAGAGGAGAAAGAAGCCTCATCTGTGTATGTGATTGAGCTCAACGGCTTCCTCACGAACAAAGGCACAATGTCTTCCAACAATCCTTGTGAAGTCTGAGTCTGCTCCTCTTGTAGCATTATATCTTGCTGTTCCCTCTCCTCTCTATTTTCCGTAAGTCCTTTTGGCTGCGGATTATCCTCTTCATTGATTTTTTGCTGCGAGTTACTAGTTTGGATCTTTTGCTTCTTTGGTATGTGGAGAGCGTTTTGTGGCCGCGATAGTAGGAAGTGAGAGTATGTGTAGTGGAGGTGGAGTCCTTCGTAGGTGACGATCAGGGTTTCTGGGTCTTCTGTGGATCTTTCCACTTGTTTCTTGGCATTGCATCTGGGGTTTGTGCACCTATAATAACTCCTGTTCATCAAAGAAAGGACAACAAAAGTTTCAGAAAAATAATTATTGAGGATAAATTTCATGAAAAACCTTTTTTTTTGGGGC